GGGCTCGTAGGGTGGCTGGGTGCCGTGGGGTCATCTCGCTGCGAGAGGCCGTGGCCGTGCTCCCGCTTGCCCGTGCCGGCGGGGCTGGGTGCTCGGTGCTATACGGGCGCACACGAAGGCGCCGGCACCGTGCGGGAGAGGTTTTGCCATATTAAAAAGGCAAGTGACATATGGAAGGTGAGGGGAGGAAGCTGTAATCAACTCCATACCATTTTTATATACACACTTCTGCCTTTTCGTTCAATAATTATAAATAGATCGAGTAAGTGCCAACAGTCCCCATCTGCCCCGCGAGGCACGATCCACTGACCAGTTTCTCTCTCCAAAAGAGGATTTCGTTCACCTGCCTCTGCCCGGTTTATATTTTGGGGTGGAGTGAGAAGAGGGGATTTTTTTTTTTCCCCACCCTGTGAAGCTCTGGAGCCTGCGGATGGGTAATATGAAAACAAAACAAAATGATTTGAAGTTAAACCATCTCAGTGTGTGACTCAGAGCTATTCATAGCTCCCTGAAGCCAGCTGCAGCAACGGAGCCAGAAGGATTCTGCCCGTATTATTATTCCAATTACCATCTGAATTAAAAGTTTGAGCAGTGATCAGCCCACATACTGACGGGAGGGGGAGAGGAGAAAGCGAAGAGGGAAGGAGAGAAAGAGAGAGAGGGAGAAAAAACAGATAAAAATGGGATCCACACAAAGGTCCCCGGGATGACAAAGTCGGGAAGAGGCACGGAAAGGTGACAGCATCACCTCCCGCCTGCTCCCACACCGCCTCGGCGATCCCTGCTCCGGCCTTACCGTCAGGGTGATGGTGCTGCAAGAGCGGCCGCCCGCTCCCCAGGCTCCCGGCCAGGAGTCGGGGGGTACCCCACTGGTGGGACTGGCACGGGCGCTCACCAGCTCCTCTGGCTGGGGGATAAGAGGCAGAGGCTGGGGGTGACGGCGCAGGAGCGTAAGGAGAGGAGGCTGCTGGGGAGAAGTCCCCGCTTCTTCTTGTGGAGTGGGATAGGTGGGTGTCACTCCTTGTGGCTGGCAACACAGGGAAAACCGAGTGCCCAGAAAACCCCTGGTTTCTGTAGCAGCCAGGGGTGCAGACCACATCCCACCTGCTCCCGAGGAAGTGCTGGGGCTGCTGTACGCCCCAGCACCCATCCTGCCAAAACCGTGGACTAGACCCCAAAGAGCCGGCGCAAGACCCCCAGGAGCTGAGAAACTGAAGGCACCAGGGTGTCCCCGGGGTCCCCATGTCCCAGGGACGGCTGTGGTGCACTCAGGCCACCTCCTCCGGCTTCCCAGCACGACCGCACCAGCGACAAGGCCATCTCCCCTAAACCCAGGAGCTCCCTTCCCTGAGCACCCTGCCGAAAGGCCGTCCCCAGTGGCGTCCCAACACGTCTTCAGCACAAAGTCTGTCCTGAGCCCGTGCCGGCAGGCCAGGAGGGCTGCCCACGCAGGGCCACTCAGTGGCTTTCGGCTAGCCGGGGATGAGGATCGGT